GAGAAAAATACTGTAGCAGGCAGATCACTCACTGTTCATGATGCACGAACTATTGGAAGAAAATCCTCAATATTGATTTGGGGGTTTATATGAATGTGTTTCTGAGGGGAACTGTCTTCATAAAAGTTCACGTGGTATTTTCTTTTCATCTGGTCTCTGTATAGTTCATATTAAAGCAGTGTTGCAGCGCAGCGCTGCTTTGTTTACAGCGGTAAACAAGGAAACACTGTATCTGGTGTTCCAGAAGCGCCTCCTGCTGTCAGAGAGTGAATCTGCGTCTCATTCAGAGCTTCTGCTGTTTGCTTCGTTCAGGCATGTAGTATAATTTCACAAAGCTAGTCAGAACAGAACATTCTGTTTTTGCTTCAAATTGGGTTATTATTAAATCAAATTATGTTTATGAAATTATATAACTAAAATTAAATAACTGTAATTACCGATTTAGGTTAAATAAAGGGGTCTTTATTTTTCTTTTTTAGGAAACAAATCCAAGAAAAAATAAACTAATTCTACTGTTCCTAATATTCTGTATGTTGCTCAAAAACAAAATATATTGTGTTCAGCGTTTTTTTTTTTACCCAGTCATTTAAAAAAATAACACATTTTAGAGCTGTAACGACAATACCGTGATATTTTTGCTTAAGGTTATCATACCGTCAAAATCTCATACCGGCCCATGCCTGGTTATCACATTAGTTAGGATTGTATTAGACAAAACAATATAACGCAAAAACAATTTGCACCATACGTTCAATACAAAAAAAAAATAGAAATGGAAATTGTAGTCAATGGGAAATCTGCTCCTTTATTAAATGTAATAAATTGCATGTGGTTTCGAGTGTGCAGATATAACACTCTAACAAACTTCATGTGTGCTAGCAATCATCTGCAAGATAAAATTTCAGACTGGCTAGAGCAACAGGTTTTTTTCTTCTCTAAGCAATTTATTTAATCACATGATATCTTCTGAATGCACGTCTAACAATTTCATCTGTAAATGTACTTGCATTGTAGTTTATGCATTTTCTAACCAAATAATACAAAAAATCATCCACCTCAAACGAAGTGTATACATTTATGAAGCACATTATGCCAATTACATTCACATGATGGTTTTTCCATCCAGCATTTTAATGCAAATTTTGGGATACAGCATAGAAATGCTAGTTGATGGAAAACCTGGATGAATCTCGTGATGTTGCTTAACAGCAGTTTAACATAAGTGTAATTTGAAACCACTGTCATCCAAAAAAAAAAAAAAGAAAGATTTGAAGTATCTTACACAGATTGTAAGAGATCCCATATTAAGCTATGACTTTCAACTGCTGTTATGGTAGCAATCTAGATGTTCTAATGTGTGTAAAACTATATTCAGCCTCTATCCAACCCCTTTTTCCTCACTGAGTCAAGCATGCGTATAACTTGTTTTTGCTGCGATTCAAACAGTTTATTATTCCCCAAGACGATACCATTTCTAAAATCAAATTTGGGAACCTGTGAAGAATTATCATTATTAAGAGCAAAACATTCTGAAATCATATCCAAATGGTATGTATATTTTCTGTCCATACTTAGTAAACAAAAACTTGCGTTCAGCTTGCAGAAATGAAATAATGAATTTCAAAACATCTAGACATCAACCAAGAGTAAAGATGTAAACGTAGGTGCATAAATGTTTCCAAAATGCCCATATGTCTCACTGAAAAATCACACTGCCTGACTTGTCCTGTCGATCCGCATCAGTCTGCATGACCGGGTCGGTCGTTTCTCCTTTCCCCGTTTCTGCTGAGCAGCCCGAAGACGTGCTAAAATGTGTTTTTTTGGGAACTTCAGGGTGGTACATCCAAACTGGCTAACTCCTCCTGTTTCCCCAGGTAATTTCTCCCGCCTTTGGACCCAGCTTCGCCAGCCAGGTTTCCAGCAGTAGACGCTATCATAAAATCTCGATCCATTCTCACCACCCAACACATAAATCCTGCGTTTCCATCTAGCCACACCTCCAGCTGCAATCCGCCTTGGCAGGCCAGGAAAAACCACCGGACTAGGCGCACGGTCACTACCACCACCCCCTCGCTCTACTCCAACTGCCACCTCCCGCTCTACTCCTGATCCTCTTCCTTCTCGGAAGAACAACACACGTCCTGTGGCATCTAGTGGTTCAGCCTGGGTGTAGTTGCCATTGAGGAACTTGGCGGCATCACGCAAGTAACCACCAATGGCACAAACGCCGCCACGTACTGCCACGCCTCCAGCCAGGCAGGTGGCGCCAGAGTCTAGGGCGACACGGCTCCAGGTATTTGTAACCGTGTGGTATATAAGCACACCAGCATGCACCACAGCCCTGCTCTGCTCCAGTGTGGTACCACCAAGCAAGTAGAGACGACAGCGGAGAGCAGCGCAAGCAAAAGAACGCAATGGCAATGGCAAACGAGGTCCTGATGCCCAGGTCAGCTTGTTAAGGTCAAATTTTTCAGATGTGTCCAGAAAGGCTGATCGGTTACAGCCACCAAGAGCGTATAAAAAACCTCCACAGCCAAGAAGACCCAACATCGCGCGTGGTTCAGCCATCAATGGCTGTACAATCCAGCGGTTTAGCACAACATCGTACTCATGAAGTTCTGAGGAGACCTCGGAACTCCGCAGGATGCCTCCCGCCACAAACAGTCGACCTCCGACAGCAGTGCAGCCGGGACAAAGCAACGAGCCCAAGGCTGCCAGCTTCTCCCACTTCCCTGAACGAGGGTCGAAGCAATCCACCGTGAAGTCCCTTTTCTGTAAAGACTCATCCTCCCTTGGCTTAAGGTCTACACAGACTATTTTCTTCTCAAACATGCCTTCTCGAGGCCTCAACGGTCCTCCCATGCCCTCAGTAGTGGCTCGAGGTCCAAGTTCTTGGTTCATTCGGTGGCTCTCTTCAGGG